GAACTAATTGTGTTGTAAATTTTATAACTTTGGCATAAAAATACCCTGTAAATTCATCAGTCAAAGCTCAAGATCCTGAAGGTTTTGTTTTAATGCCGTTTGTGGATTTAATTTATTCCATGAAAATGTAGATGTTAAAATACTGATGTCCTGAGATACTACTGGTTGTTTATCATTGTCACTATCAGAATCCATTGCATCCTTGCCAGTCTCAATGCAGGTACATGACCGCCACTATATGTATTCCATAATCATTATTGATTCAATTATTTTTAGTCTTTAAATGATAATATATCTAGCTCTGACTCTGGTGAATTATTGCCGGTAAATTGTTAAGGTATGGATTTTGATTGAAGAATTGATTTTTAAGTACTCTTGAATAATCTAAAAGAGAAAGGAGGCTGTGAATAATAGTACTAACAAAATGCAGATAGAAATCCAGTGTGAAGTTTTGCATGGAGGTAATGCTTTTTTTATACCTGAAATAATTTTTTTATAGCTAATCGAAGGAGGTTAAGCTTCACTAGTAAGTTGACTCCATCTGAAGAGAAGCCTCATACTATTAGATGATATGATGTTTTTAAGGATTTGGTTACATCATATGGGAAACAGGGTCCGAATATGATAATGAAGTACCCATTTTGTGCTTGTTTAAAGGGTGAGAGAAGCATTGATATGGGTGGAGTTATAAGGGATATGTTTTTAGCATTTTTTGAAGTGGCCTATCAGCGTCTGTTCAATGGTAGTTATCTGTACTCACCTTTAGTGCATCCTGACATAGAAAAGGATAATCTGATCATTGTTGGCCTAGTTATCTCATTCATATATTGTGTTTGGAATCTTACCAAATCGAATAGTGTTTCCCCGTCTTGCACAAGTTTTACTCCATACTGATATCACTTTTTCTAATAACATGATGTGTTTGTCTTTCATTGATAGTGTTACTAAGCATGACCAGATATTGATCAAGGATGCACGAAACAGGTGGAGGAGGGTGCTGTTTCGTTTGCAAAGGATATTTATGATGGTTTGGTGACATCATTTAGTAGATATAATTGTCGACAGATACCTTTACCAACAACTTTAAGAGAACTTATTAAATTAGCCAACTATGAGTTTCTCACAAAACCGTCTGCTGCAATTACTCTACATGTAGTTCGTAAGAAGATCCCAGGGAGCACCATTCATTTTACCCGGAGATCGGAGTGTGTGGTTTGCATTTACTTTATAAAGCACAAGCTGTTTCAACAGGAAAATTTTTTGAAATGTTTGATAATGCTGAGGGCTCTACTGAATCAGAGGAGAGACTGCCATTGTACTTAAGACGATTTATTGGTAATATGGGGCCTGAAGAATTACAATTATTTCTTACATTTGTAATTGGTTCACCAGTTTGTTCTTCCCAACAAATTGTTGTTCACTTCAATAGTCTCACTGGTTTGACTCGTAGGCCAATGTCTCCTAATTGTACTCCCACTCTTGTTTTATCTTCCATGTATCAAACATACCAGGAGTTTGCTACTAAATTTCACTCTTGTT